ATTTAACTCGTCGAGTACCGGTTTTGTAGACACAATTATAGAACAATAGGTTGCGGTCACCGGTGACCGCTTGGTGTTTGACAGTTTAATATGAATTATATGATATTTAGACGTGTGATGACGATACTATAGGAGGTAGGATGAATACATTTAAGACTACTCCTTCTCATACCGCGGGCGATAACACATTTAGCAGAGGTGTAAAATCGAAGGTATTTTCAGACAGAAATAATAGTCACGGATGTCCAAATAATACTGTCCTTTGATTATCTTATATCTTAGACTAGTTACTATATACAGCGGAAGAGTTAGTTTTTTTGTTTGTTTGTTTGAACGCGCTAATTTCCGTAACTACAAGTCCGATTTCAATAATTATTTGTGTGTTGGATACTCCATTTATCGAGGAAAGTTATAGGGTACAAAATATCACGCTACGATCAAAAAGAGCCGAGCAGAGCGGGTGCAACCGCGCGGAAGTAGCTAGTATATTATATTAATGATTACACACTTACACAGGTAAAGATATATGACTTATTACTACATATACACTACAGAGGGCAGGCAGCACACCTCATGGATAAACCTGAATCTTTTTAACTGCGATCTTCAAGCCGGTTGAAGACTTTGGCAAACCTTCATAGAGGACACCCATAATCTAACAGGGGACAGGACTGTTGTAGATAATAAAACTTGATGATAGAGAAGTCATCTTCACTGTGGTTGTAATGGATATTTTATTTACAAAGTCTGGTCGTCCAAACTTTGTTAAGAGGAACTTCATAAGTTATGTCCTAAACTTGGAAATATTATTATCCTGGCCAATATTTTCTATGGGCAGAAGGAACAAACGGAAAGGTGTACTGAAACTTCTAGTTAAGCGTTTATGAGAATAAATACTGATACATTGATATTAAATAATATTTTGTCAGTTGCAGATGGAATAGAGCACACTTACTTATCTCTATTATATATATATATAGTATATTTAACTTATTTAGACTTTACTTTGCACGGTTGGCGCGGTGGCTGGGCACCTGGCTGCCGCGAAACGTGTCGCGGGTCCGATTCCCGCACGGAACAACTCTTTGTGTGATCCACAGATTGTTGTCCCGGATTTAGAAGTGATGTGTATGTGAACTTGTATGTCAAAAAAAAAGTTAACAGAACACCAAAACATCACGCCTTTTATCACCGAAGGGTTAGGCAGAGGTGCATATTACGGCACTTAATGCCACTGTACAATGTAACACCCACTTTTTACTATTTATGTTCCATGTAATAGGGGGTGAGCCTATTGCCATATACCGGGCACAATCCCAGACGTCGTGCTACTACTGAGATGTTTTTGTTTTTAAAAAAACAGTATTAGTTTGCCCGACCCGTGAATCGAACCCGAGACCCCTTGCTCAATAGTCGCACTTGCGACCATTCGGCCAACGAGGCAATATGAGTCTGACATAAAGTTGTGATTTAATCCAAACCCGACTAGGTATATAACTAATTCTAAGTCAAGTTTTAACGTAAATCTTTTGTTTCATTGTACGTTGAAAGTTTAGAATTTGTTTTAAAATTTATTCCTGAATACACTGCCTGGCATCCCCGTTTCCTTACATTCGTCGTTTGAATTCTAAACGGTCAGAAGTTTTCTGAGGCGGCCATGTTTTTAACGGACAAAAAAAGTCTCTAATGTTTTCGGAAATGGAATTTCTCTTGAAATGATATACATAATGAGTTTTATGAAGGCCTGTGTGATTTAGACCGGGATCTTGGACTATTCTTTGGTTTTTGGCTCATGGTCTGTTAATTGGTTTTGTTTTAATGCCGTATTTTGCTGTTACTGTAATAGGGGAATATTGTTCGTCTTTTTTGAATTGCTAGTTCTTACACATATTTATTATTTGAAATGAAATTTGTTAATGATTTTGTTTTAGACTCTGTTTTTAACGTTATTTAAAGGTGATGCAGTTCAATTGACTTTTTATTAATAAACGATGAAAGAATCAAATGAAATAAAATACCTGCTAGACCATTAATTTTGATGATTTTACTCAATTTTATTATCATTAGCAAACTTGAGTGTCAGATGATTTTACTCAATTACCAATAATGGGTCCAATCCCTGAATCCCCAACAATCCTCAAATTCCTAATCCCCTAAAGGTTGGTAACGCACTTGTAAAGCCTCTAGTGTTCCGGGTGTCCATGTGCAACACCGATTGCTTACCATCAGGTGAAATGAGTAGACGGGTCACCGTCTGCTGATTTACCAACTTATTCCATAAAAAAACAAAGAAAAAATGTCTTATGCCCGAATACTGAAACGTCACTCAATTTTAAGTCGCACTTAAGTATAGTTCTGTCTCTACAAATTCTTAGTAAAATGACAGAGATGGCATGATATTTGAGTACGACTTAAAATTGAGTAACGTTTCAGTATTTCGACATTAATTAACATTTCCATTCTCCTATATTAGCTCAAACTCCATATAATATACTTTAATAATAATAGTTCTAACTTACTACAGACTTTTTATTTTGTATACAGAAATATGAGCACTCGTGGATCGTTGATATGTGCTACAGAGTGCTTATTGCTGTACCCTGTCCATCACAATTGGAGCCAAATGTTTTTATTTATCGCGAAATATTAAATCAAAGGTCTGTTGAATTGTTCAAATATTTTTACTTATACGTATTGGCTGGTTAGATTTTCTATTTAGATTAAATTATTATAATATTATACAACATAACATAACATCACGCCTTTTATCCGAAGGGGTAGGCAGAGGTGTACATTATGCCACTGTACAATGTAACACTCACTTTCCACTATTTATGTTATGAGTCCCATGTAATAGGGGGTGAGCCTATTGCCATATACCAGGCACATTTCCAGACTCCGTGCTACTACTGTGAATTTTTGAAAAAACCAGTTATACTTTGCCCGACCCGGGAATCAAATCCGAGACCACTTGTCCGGCAGTCGCACTTGCGACCACTCGGCCAACTAGGCAGTCAGTATAATATTATATGTTTTGTAAAAGAGGTAGTAGGTACTGATGGATACATGATCATGTTCCAAGTTCGCGGTGAAATAGAACCAGTTCAGCATGTGCAAGACAGGGCACTTTTTTTAAAGGGTGAAAAATCGCCTGGGTGAGGCGGAAGGGAGTGTCAGACTCTTACTGACTAAAAACCACCCCGTTCTTTCTCCTGCACTTCGAGCCGGAGCTCCGGTAACCCGTTAGGTTCTCCGGAACTCCGAATCGGCATCAGCCCTATTGGACCCCATCCGTGGTGGTCGGATGGCTCTTTGAGGCGCGCGTTCTGGTCGGGCGGCGAGCCACCCATGCTCGCCGTCCGCAGGCCCGCGCAAGACAGGACCTTACTCTGATATTCTACTGGCCCCTTAAGTGACTCTATATAGTGATTTGGCATCTATAGTGATATATTATTTTGGATTTTGACCATGACAAGTTAATCTGTCTATTTATATAAGTGTACTTTAAACCACATATTAACAAAAACTAATATCACACTTTTTATAATTTGTCAATAAGTAGTTTACACCTATCTAATAGGTCAAAGTCAAAGCATTTATTTGAATTAAATCATAATTTGGTACTTTTGAAACGTCAAATAAATACATAAAATAAATAATAGGCTGTCAGTCAGTCAGTCCGTCAGTGAAGCTAGGTAAAGCTAGGTGCTTATTCCAAAATGTAGATTCGAATGGAGAAGCACAAGCAAGAAACTCAATTCGTTACTCTTCAATACATAGTATAAAACAAAGTCGCTTTCGCTGTATGTCCGTATGTATGCTTAGATCTTTAAAACTACGCAACGGATTCTGATGCGGTTTTTTTTAATAGATAGAGTGATTCTTAAGGAAGGTTTGTATGTACACATATTGCACCCGTGCGAAGCCGGGGCGGGTCGCTAGTTAAAAATAAAGTATGTTCTACAATGTCTCTGATAAATATTCCAATACTGTATAGATGTCGCGGAGAACCTAACGGGTTACCGGGGCTCCGGCTCGAAGCGCAGGAGAAGGAACGGGTTGGTTTTTAGTCAGTAAGAGTCTGACACTCCCAGCCTCACCCAGGCGGGAGCAGCCATGCGATGATTTTCCCCCCTTAAAAAAAAATAATACTGTACGTATAGGTTTTGAATGTGGAAATTAAGCCAATATCAACTACGCAATATTATTAACTAACTAAGAACGGAAAATTAGCTTAATAGGAGTTTAAACTTTAATCTAGTAACTTCTTCTAGGAATGACAAATTCGTATAATGTTAATTGGATTTACAAGAAACGACTCAAACTGTTTGGTCTCTATTTTGAGTCTGGATCGTAATCTAGGTTTGAATCTAGGCGTTAAAAGCTTACCGCCTACTGACACTATTCTAACTAAATACAATTAACGATAAATACGTTTGAGATATGTTCAAACAAGTGATTTGGTGTTAATCTTGTTTGTACTGTCGTTAAGTTTACTAACATTACCTAACATAGTATCACGCCTTTTATCCCCGAAGGGGTGGGCAGATGTGCATTACGGCACTGTACAATGTAACTCCCAGTTTTCACAATTTATGTTTTTGAGTCCAATGTAATAGGGGGTATGCCTATTGCCATATACCGGGCACAATTTCAGGCTCCGTGTTACTACTGAGATTTCTTTAAGAAATCCAGTAATACTTTTTCCGGCCCGGGAATCGAGACCTCTTGGCCGGCAGTCGTACTTGCGACCATTCGGCCAACGAGGTAGTTACTTAAATTGTACATAAAAATAACATTCAGTAAAAAACTGCATCTCCAGAGAGTGGACAGTATGTACATTTAACTTATAAAAATAAATAAAAATAAAAAATAAATAAAATTCATTTATTTCAGGCACATGCCCATAGAAAATTATGCACAGAAAATAGAAATTACAAAGTACAAATTACAAAAATTATTATTAATAGAAATTACAAATTATTAATTGATTAATTACATTACATGTCACAAATGTCAAACTTGCAGCAGTCATACACAGCCTGGACAATAATATTGTCAGTATTTCGTATTCGGTTCATGAAGGAGGCAGCCCGTTTTCTCATCACTGCATAAAAGTCATCTACCCTATTCTCGGCAAACATGCCAGACGCACTACACCTCCACGGTAGGTTGAGCATAGCTCTGAATGCATTATTATACTGCACGCGTAACGCGTGATACGTCCGCTGTGTATAGTTCTTCCATAGGTAGCAGGTGTAGAACGCCTGACAGTAAGCCACGAACAGAGTGATCCTTACTGCGTTACTGCACCGAGCAAATCGGCGCGCCAACATGTTGGCTTTTGCAGCAATGGACCTCTTTTGCCTTTCCATGTCGTCATCATCTTTTAGATTATTGTTAATTACATGACCTAGATATTTAAATTTCGATACAACGTTTAATTGAGTGCCGCCAAGTGTTATTACTGGATTAAAGCAACAAGTTCTGTCATGTCTAAAAATCATGACTTCTGACTTTTTAACATTATACGTTAGTCCATGTCTCAGGGCATATTTTTCGCATATGGAAAGCATTGTTCGTAGGCCGTCAACTGAGGGGCTCAGCAAGACCATGTCGTCGGCGTAGCTTAAGTTATTTACTGGTTCATTACACATGTGACAGCCGACGCCTGATCTGCTGAGCTCCTCAATCAGTCCATTTATATATAGGTTAAACAAGGACGGAGATGTTAGGCCACCCTGTCTTACGCCACATTTAAGTGTGTACTCGTTAGAAAAGCCACCATTACCCCATTTTACCACATTGGTCTGAGATCCGTACCAGTATTTCAACGTTCCCAATATATCACCTGGTATGCCTGCCTCCCCCATCTTTGCCCACAACATTATAACTTTAACTAGAATATACTTGCGGATAAAACTACGACTATAGACCAAGCTGCTAAGAATCTACGCTTAAATTATAACTTTGATAATCCACATTGAGGTATTATTATGTTTTTCGGGTTACTCACGTAATTATTTAAAAGTATATCGAGTGAGGCTATAGTCTATAAACAACATGCTACGATCATTAAGAGCTCAGCAGAGCGGATAAAATCGCGTGGAAGTACCTAGTCAAGAATGACAGTGCAATTAATAAAATTCACATAATCTGAAAGTTGTTCTACATGATCATCTGTCCTTATTAAATCATTACATAGTATAAAACAAAGTTGCTATCCGCCGTCTGTCTGTCTCTATGTATGCTTAGATCTTTAAAACTACGCAACGAATTTTGATGCGGTTTTTTTTAAATAGATAAAGTGATTCTTAAGGAAGATTTATATGTGTAATACATTAAAAAAAAACGTTGCTCCACACTAGGATTTTCTCTTGTGTCGTGGGTGCGTTTACAAACATACAAGTTCACATACACATAACACCCAGACCCGGAACAACATTTGTGGATCACACAAAGAGATGTTCCGTGCGGGAATCGAACCCGTGACACGGTGCGCGGCAGCCAGTGGTCCAGCCACCACGACGACAGTGCAGTCACGCCAATATTGCGCGTTTCCTTCTCCGTATGTATAATTTTCACTTTCCGCATATTCAACCATATATCTTCATTTCTATCCGATTCCTTTGATCGTCTCCTGTCCATCATGCTAGCAGTCGGTCTACAATTTAGCGGTGAGCATTGTACGACATGTGTCTGTACAATCAGCGGCTCATGATGAGAGTAGTGCTGGAGACATAGGGAGTAGAATTGTGACGAGCTGATATTTCTATCAAGCTTCTCTTGTCTTCTGGAGAATTGAGTCAAGGTTTATGTAGGTTATCTCTATCGCCAGAAAAAAAATAGATAGTAATAAAGAACAACATCTATCTTCTTTATGACTGGGAATTTCAAACTTCGAATAATTTAATCAATATGTTGTTGGGTTGGAAATTGAACTCGATGTAATATGATGGGTATGAAGAGCCATGAAAGCAGGATTAATGCGGTGGAAATGAGAGCCCTGAGAAGTATGTGTGGACTAAAATTGAGTGATCGAGTGAAAAATAGTGTTATTAGAGAAAAGTATGAATTGAAAGATGATGTAGTGATAAGGATTGAAAAGGGAATGTTACTCTGGTTTGGACATGTAGAAAGGATAGATGAAAGTAGAGTAACAAAAGAAGCATACAGATCGGATATGAATGGGGCCGTCGGTAGAGGGCGCCCTAGACAAACATATATTGACCAGATTGGCGATATATTAAAGAAAGGCCAAATTAAAAGTACCCTTAACAGACGAGTATGCGGAATGCGTGAAAAGATTGATGACTGTTGATGAAGCGAAAGAGGTATGTAGGAATCGTAGTAATTGGCGTTTCGTAGTCTCTGCCTACCCCCATGGGAGACAGGCGTGAAGTTATGTATGTATGTATGTAGAGGTAATATGATCATTTTTGGCCACTACAGCTGGTACGCTAGTGACGAGTGTGGCGTGACTAATTTCAGTTTCAACTAGCAAAAATCGCACCTCGTATTAACCTCATTGGTTACGATATTGCTTCTGCGCAGTGACAAATTTCAGTAGGGATTGAATTGTGGTTATTTATAAGATAAAATACAAATGAAGAGTCTTTCTTCAATTTAAATAGAGACTGTAAACATATTTCATCCTATTAGTACTTATCATGTCGCAAGTGTGACTGTGAAGCAAGAGGTCAAGAGTCCGTACAATACTACATATTATAACCACTAAATATTGCACTTAACTCAGTTTACATTCAGAAGTGGGTGGGACTTGTATGCCTAGGTATAGATAGAAGACTGATACTGCACTAGGCCGGGGGCGTGAGACCAAGCCTTACTTTCGATTTTAAACATAAGTGGGTACGGAATTACAAGACGAGGTAAATATAATGTTTGGTTTAATTTAATTGGTATCTAGGTTCAGATTAAAAAATCTGACTACGGTTTTAAACAAAACTCAAATAACGGGTTACTTTCGTGAATATACTGAGAAAAGCTCTACTAGTTTCGAACCACAGAGGGGTTCTTCCTCATGAGCAGCGTGCGCGGTCGCGCAGTAGTTATTATAAAATCATCGAAAAATATAATAATGTGTACTTTCGTCGACGCTCAAAACTGAGACTTAATATTCACAATTAACACTAAAGTAAAGTCAATCAAGAGTGATGATGACCTTACCATCCAACATTTCTCCCAACAGAAATGTTTGCAAAAATTTCCTTCCCTATATGTTTTCAGTCCCCCATAACATATCGCCCGAGACGGGAATGTACCTGCTACCTCTCATTGTTACCGCGATGCCTTTTTTAAAAGCGCAACAAAGCCGCAAGGTATGCATCAGTCTACATTGATAGATATGACTTTTGATATGTACAGCGTGTTGTAGTTTCTTTGAGACAGTTTTTTATTCGTCAGATTTATCATCTTCGCTTGGAAAGTTTAAGTGATTTTTAATGATAAAAATGTGTTCTTAATTAGAGTTCGATTCCCGGGTCGGGCAAAGTATTACTAGGTTTTTTAAAAATTCTCAGTAGTAGCAAGGAGTCTGGAATTGTGCCCGGTATATGGCAATAGGTTCACCCCTTATTACATGGGACTCATAACATAAATAGTGAAAAGTGGGTGTTACATTGTACAATGGCATAATGTGCACTTCTGACTATCCCTTCGGGGATAAAAGGCGTAATCTTAATTAGAAAAAAATATAGACGACTAGTTACTTATTTGGCGTCTTTAGGAATTTCTTTATTAAAGTACGTATTTGGTCACTGTTCTAAAAAAGTATTCAAACATCAGATTAACCTTTTATTACTAATCAAAGCTTCACTTTTCTTAAGAGTTTCTTTTTTCAAACCAATAAAAACGACTATACTTTACCCAATTTTCTTCATTATAAAAGAAAGTTCCACAACAGTGTTCCTTATACAGCCTACATGACTAAGGAGGCTGTGTACCTCTCGTGTGACATGTGATCAATTCTCTATGACCTCTTTTTACAAAAATAGCTCCGAACGGAACACTTCTAAGTTTAAAAATAAATTGATTCCGGTAAAAATACCCTGGAAACGAATTTAGCTGAATAAGCTGAACACGCTAAATAACCTTTTCGGAAAAAGCTGTAAATAGGTTATACAATACAAGTTCTTAAAATGTGCCAACTTATTTTTAGGGTAAGAACTTTTACATATTTTCTATAACTGGATATTTAAATAATTGATACGAGTAGATACCATTATATGCATACTCTTAAATAGTACGCTTCCATCTGGTTAATTTGAAAGTCGTAGACAGAAGTCTGTGACTTCCAACTTCTATGAAGAATATTTAGAAGAATATAGATTCAGAAGGAGACGTTTTGTGGCTAACATAGTTGTGATGATTACACACTGCAAAGGAAGCCAAATGTACATAAACATTTAATGTTAAGTTTGGAACAGACAATATTTTTTCCGTTGATATAGAAAATAGGTTAATTCTTTTATATTTTTTTTTTCAAGCCACCTGTATATAGCAATAAGGCGGAGTGCAGACGGCTTTGTGTCGCCTCGTCGATGCACGGCCGTATGTACCCGCACTTTACGCGTAATTCGTGTTTAATTACCGATGGAGACTAATGTATGTGATTGTTTTTATCATAGCAATGTTACTGGTGTGTCTTGGTGGCCCGGAGGTTGAGGAGGCCGTGCTTCTCATGCACGAGGGTGCAGGTCCGAAACCTACCAACGGCAAGTGAAATTTTCCGAGTTATACGTACTTTCTAAGATTATCTAGACACCACTGACAAACGGTGAAGGAAAACAACGTGAGGAAACCTGGGCTTATAATTTCTAATTATAAGTTTGAAATCACCAACCGGCATTGAGCAAGCGTGGTGATTAATGCTCAAACCTTCTCCGTGTCAGAAGAGGCTTTGCTTAGCAGTAGGCATTTATAAGCTGTTGATGATGATGAATCTTACTTGCAATTATGATCATAGATTGAGTGATTGCTGAACTAATTCGATAGTTGAGTAAAAGGTAGTTATCTCTACTGCCTCATTGCTAAAAAAGGAGAGAAGAGAAGGAGCAAGTGCGACCGCTGAGCTGAAAAGTCGGGGGTTTATTCTAGCGTCGAACAAAGTTATAATGGATTCTAGCGTCAAGTGAATATTACATTCCAATGTATATCTTTTGGTGCGGTGGCAAGGCAACTGACTGACGTACAACGTGTAGTAGGTTCGATACAATCACGGAGCTAAAGAGAAAAATTCTTCCTAGATTAAATGAAACTGAAAATCCAGATCAAATTGTTTGTCTCCATAGCAGAATCAAATGCTACAGGGTGAGGCTATTTTAGTCCTACCTCGTGGCACACGTGTTCCTTCCGTAGGTATCTACCCAGTCTCTGACGTCACGCTAAGGTACACATGGCGTCAGATCAAGCTGAAAAACCAGTATAAATTGACCATAGAACGTGCGGAAAGATCATACAAACTGAGACCGTAATAAATTGGTTTTGTGTAGGTCCACGGGTTGCCATGTATTAATAAAAGTTTATAAAGTAATTTTCCAAGCTACGTCAGTAAGTGATGATATATTGTGAAGTCATAAGTGCTGTAGGTAATTTGTATGTGGAGTTATCGTAGGCAGAGACGTAAATAGTTAAGGTTAGAGTGTTACAGTTTTTAGATAATAAATCTAGATCTCAGTTACAAGTAAGCAAACTAGTCTTCCAGGTATTCAAAGTCAAAATCATTTATTTCAATTAGACCAAGAAGGCATTTTTGAATGACAAAAAATTGAAAATTGTCAATCTGTCGATCAGTCCTATACTGAAGCTATTTGCTCGTTCCAAGATGTAGATTGATATGGAGAAGAACGAGCAA